TTGTTAAAATAATGAAATAAATATACTGGTATCATTGGATATTTGATTTAATTGTGAAACTTTCTAACAAAATGTTAACTGCTGGCTTCGAACCCTCAATCAACAATTCCGCAGACACGGTATAAATTCAACAACACCACAGAAGATATTCGTCTGTTGCCTGAATTGTTTTCGTAATATAGGGAACGCCATCGACACTTTAACAAAACTTACCTTGACTTGGGTCTTGTTTATCTCTTGTCACAATCTGGAAACTGTTGAACAAATTGCGCGTCGTCCAGTTTAAGACGTTAGTTATTTTATTATTTATTCATTCAGTTTTGTATGGTGGAGTTTTGTGAGGTTTATTATTTTTTTGCGACGTTCTTTGTTTACTTGTTTACGGTTTGAGAGATTTCAGTTTATTTGATTTACGTTTTTACGGTAGCTCTGAGCGGGACTCGAACCCACTGTCTTTTCAAGCTAATTTTGTTTTATTTTGATGGCACGCTTGTGTACCACGCCACGACGTTGGTCGTTAAGTGGTGTTCATTTTTCTAACTACTCCAGTGTTCCGATGAGTTGAACGGAAAAGCCAAAACGATTGCTGGTTTCTGATTGCTTCGGTTCTGGTGAGTGTGTATCTAGTGTGATTCGAACCCATGTCGTTTGTATTGGGCGTTTTTTTATTTCCCATGTTGGCTACGCCGTAATATGCAACCACTTCCCCGTTTTATTGTGATTTTGACCTAGTTTCAACCACACGGCCATTTTGGAACACAGTGCGTGACCCTCAGCGTGACCCGACTGACTATATGAGCGTTCTGTTAAGCTAGGATTTATTACCGTTATTATCATTATATTGTCACGTGATTTGTTTTACCTTATGTGTAATGTCTTAAGTATCTTTATTGTAATTTGTATATACCAATTCGTATATACCGGGAAACGCCGTCGATTGAAGGTCATGTATTTTGTGACGTCACCAATTCGTGTGTAGGTACGGCTTCTAGATCCGTGCCCAAATCTTAATGAATTTTAATGAAGGACATGAATTGATTTTTGTTACAGACTCTGACAAACTTGCGTAACACCAAATGACATCGCAAATAAAATATATCAGAAATGAATGAAATACCATCACAAACACTAAAGACCAACATAAGAAGAGCTATGAACCCACAATGATCAGCTCATAGCTCGTTTGATCCACAAGCTCCACATACAATAAAATAAGTATTTATGTACTGGTGAGTGGGGCACATGACCTGGTTTCCACGGTGAGGACGGATATTTATCGTGTTTACTAGTTGTTATCAACGAAAAGTACCGAACGGCTACGGTTTGCCGGGTGGCCTGGTCCCGGACTGGTACATGTATCTGGTGGACATTCCTTGTACAAAAAAAAAAAAACAGTTCAAACTAACCTTTTATCTGTTCACTTCCATCCATCTTTCATGTTAGTCGTGTTTTTGAAAACTTAGTTTGTGAAACTGTAATTTTCTAGGAATAAAGGCTATAACGATTTTGAAAGTATGACGAAACATGACAAAAACATTTACCATGTACAGACATCCGCCATAATGACCTTTGTTGGACTCCCTAACCTAGTAAATTTGGATTTATTTCCGGGTCACACGGTAACAGCTTGCTAACAGGTCTTTATGGGTTGATAAAGTTAATACTCTAATTAAATTCAATATTTTAGGAAAAAATCATATACATGTGTGAATGATTTGATGTTCATGAATAGAAATGTATTTTAGAAAAGGAAAGAAGATCATTCATAATATTTATTGAATTTTTATTTGTTTGTTGTCTGTTTGTGTTTGTTTGTTTGTTTATAAAAAGGTTTTGTCCCAATTCGAAAACAAAATAAAAGAATTTTAAAAAGAATTAAAGGAATTTAAAAAAATGCAGAACAAAAGAAATTTTAAAAATGCAGTAAAGGGCATAAAGCTGTGGTCGTTGACTCGTTATAAACGTTTTATAAATATGCATTTTAATAAGTCAAAATGGATGTTAGAATTCAAATTGATCCAATTCGGAAATGGTATGGCGACATCAACATTAGTTCTTATTAATATTAATGAGATTCGTTCAAGAGCGTATAGTTTTACCCCTTCATGGGAGAAACCCTGGTTTGAAACCTGAATCGTGCTTGGTGTGACGGTTTATATTTCGTAATAAAATGTATACACTATTAATCTGCAAGGTTCCAAAAACTGAAAACGACGTGAAATAAATGACTTGAAACGTCTTCGATTCAATCGGTTGTTGGTGCCACCGGGCTACAGTATTCTTTTCGTCAAGTGTGCTCTATAACATGGGATGGCAGTGTACTAGTTTGAGAGTGGAACAGAGAGACGCCATCAATATCAAACGGATCCCTAGAGCAGTGAGAGTACGACAAGGGCATCATCGACGAGAAATCGAGATCATTCTTTTTCGTTTGAGTTCAGGAAATTGGTACATCTGTCACGTGAAGGCTGTGTTGTGTTTAATATTCTACTTTGGATGTCATAGCTATGTACTGTGAAGCCTTTGTTCTAGAATCGTAGCAGACGAAATTATTATGTCTATACGATGGTAATACGTACGTACGTGACGCATGTGTTTTTAACGATGTCTCCAGTAACACCCTCTTTCAGTATAAAGCATATGGCAACGGGATTATTCTAAGCATATTGTGAAATGCTCTGCCTGCGAACAAGAATTGCCAATCTCTCGTCGTTTGTCGCATATAACTATTTTTTTCTGCACCACACAGGCAGCCTGCTTTCTCCACTATAGAATTGAACGCCCGTTTGATTGATTGAACTCCAACAAGAACCCACTTCGCAGGTCGTTTACACAATAGGATAGTCATTGTTGTGAGGTGCGTTTTGTTGATCAACATAGATTGTTAGACCATTCCCCTCGGGGCCACAGTGAACTAAATATGGTCTTAGCCAAGAAGTGGTTTATCTGCGTATTGGTTGCAGCGATTCTGCTCATCATTCTTATGTACGCTTTCACGGAAATAATATTTAATGAACAGGCGGCTGTACCCGTTCGAACACAGGCACATCACGAATACGGCAGTGGTGTATCAGCCGCCATGCTCGCTGACCGTATGGCGGGGTCGGATCTTCGTGCTTTTCTCAGTCAGGACAGGCACAAACTTCCTGAAATATTCACCAATGAATCATCAACGTTCGAGGAGATTCCGAAAGAACAGCTGAATTTCTATCGATCCAGAATGAAAGTCTCGTCCCGTCGGGGGATCAACAAAATTCTCAAAGAGGTCCCACCAAAAGCACATAAACTGGCAATGGTAGAAATTCAAAAAACCTTGAGGATTTCTATGAAGGATTTCGTCAAAATGAGAGCCGAAAAGCAAAACTCGATTTACGTCAAAGCTCTTGAACTTGTTGGGTACACTAAACGTTTGCCAACTGTTATAAATATTGGCGCCA